GGAAATGTCAGCATAGATCCCCAATCTGTGTACTTATATTAATTACATGCATCTACTACTGTTCTTATAGACATTTGAACCATATATGAACAAGGCTGTTTATAAGCGATTTGATTTTAAAAACAGGTCTAAGTACAAGTTTGAATGTATTCTTCCTATAGCCCAGTGGCTCAGCCCAGGCACCTCACCAGGCTCACACCCTCCCCTGGAGGGACTGCCAGTCCAACTTACAGGAAGAACTGCATTAAGAGGCAAGGAGCCCGAACTTCCACAATGGCTCTGCTTTTTGATTTATAAATCTCCATTGTTTGGTTATCTAGTCAACCTATTTTTATTACTTAGAAGAAATTAATGTGTCTCTCCGAATTAAAGTAGATAACACACAATCACTTTAACTCTGTTTACAAACAGGATAACTGAGGATTAAAGAGACCATCTTTAGATTTTCACTTATGTTCCAGGAATTCAATGGAAAAACAAAAACATGATACCAAAAAAAAAAAAAAAAATCACCTTTGCAGTATTGGGTAATTGATTTTTTAGCTTTCAAAGTAGATAAAATCAACACCTTAAAAGACTTGTCTTTAACCCAGGCTTTCTTTTATTAAAGTGTACAATTGCAGGTGCTTGCGGAGTAATAGCTTATTCCTAACAAAAGAGTCTAGATTCCACACTATGCCTTTTGCCAGAGGCATCGTTCCCCAAAGCACACGGCTAACTGCATCTCCTGCTGTACCTGTAACAATTTAATTGTATAAGTCAGCCTAGTCAAGCATCTCCAGCTCATGACTGGGAGACATGAAATTCATTGTCATTATTGTCCCTGTCATTTTGGATCATTATATCCTGCTGCAGAATTTTCCTCACTTCAGTGCATTTTTACCTCGAGGAGCCAGAGATTATAGCTGAGGTTGGGGTGGGGGCAGGACCGTGAACTACATTTACCTCAGGGGAGCCAGAGATTAAATTGGCTTTGCTCTCTCACGAGCTGAATTCATCTATTTGTATGCTGTGAGTTTTAGGTTGGAATAAAAATGAATATTCTAGTAAAACCTGGGCTTTAATTCCCCTTTGAAATATGGATATAACCAACTTCTATTTACATTAGGAAAGCCAGAGTAATTTCTTGTAGGTTGGTATTTTTATGCGTACATGAGGAATGCTTAGGGGTGTCGCCGGGTATGACTAACAGACATCTCTCTCTGTCAGTGTCCTGACATTCAGAAAGGAAGAAGTTAAAGCTATAATTTTCTTCTCTAGTTTCATTTTATAGAGGTTTAATGAGGGTATTTAATGGTGTTAAATATTTAATGATTTTTAATTATATCCCATTTTCTGTGTACTGGATTGGATGACTGGAGTCCAACCAGAATGGCATGGAAGTTCCACTCTGGGAACGGAAGACTGAAGTGGATAGAGGAAGACTAAGTTCCAGAGACAAACTGGCTCCCCTCCCAGCAGCCGGTTCCTATAACCTCGCAGCCTGCCCAGTTATCCAAGCGTATGATGCCTTAAACACTTCCTCCTGACCTGCTAGAGCAGGCCTGGCCCCACACTCTCTACCTGGTAACGCTATTTTCAGGCCAGGGTCCAGTGCGTGAGTCTCCTCTAGGAGATGGCAAGAGGCCAGGAAGAAAACACTAGGATGTGTCTCAGGCGGGAAACCAGTGAGCGACTGTCTGTTTTCACTAATAGAACATAAGAGAACTGGAGGAAAAATCTGGTATGTCACCCCCATCCCAACTTTCATTTCATATACATTTTACTGACAAATTTGATATTTACTCTATCTGCATTAAAAAGAATGATAGTTATTCCTCCATATGTATGAGTTTGTTTTTCAACAGTTAACAATAAAACATAGCAAAGAATCATAATCACTCCATCAAAAAGAATGTAGAATTTCTTTTATTACCTCTACAGACCTTTTCTGGGGAATAGATTCTGACTTAATTACATGCAACAGTCATCAGAATTTACTTAGGATGAACTGTTCTTATAATCATGAAAAATTTTTTGACCGTGGTACATTTTGTACTTCAGAAGGAACACTTTACGGCCCACTTTTCACTGCTGCTGAAGTAGCTGTATGATGTATTATCAATAAGGGGTTTTGGTTGACAAAACTTCTTGTAGCATTAGAAGTTCATACGATTACTTATCTGCCTTTTTCATTAGAATTAAGACTCTCCTTAGGTGAAAGTTATAAAAATTGTGATTTCAGTTGGCTTCAAAAGGTTAGTTTTGTTAAATGAATTTCACCTCTCTCTCTATATATATTTTATTTTATATCTATACATATATCTATTTCAAGTAGCTTAAATAATGCATCTGGAAGTCATTTTGGGTGACTGTTATTCAGTTTTCAAAATGGTTATTTATGAAGAACAGTACATTTTTTCCCATTCAGAAAGGTTTACCTTGGCAGGGCATGGTGGGTCATGCCTGCAATCTTAGCAATCTGGGACATCAAGGCAGGAGGATCACTTGAGCTCAGGGAGTTGGAGACCAGATTGTGCAAAGTGACACCCTGTCTCTACTAAAAATTGAAAACTTAGCCAGGCCTCCCAATTACTCAGGAGGCTGAGGCAGGAGGATTGCTTGAATCAGGAGTTTGAGGTTACAGTGAGCTAGGCTGATGCCACGGCCCTCTAGCCCTCTTAACAAGGAAGACAAACAACAAAAAAGCCAACAACAGTCTACCCCATAAATTACAATGTTAGACTTGAGGTGCTAACGGTAAAAGTTCACAAGGAATATGCTTTTCCTCCCTGAAATACTTAGGTAGCAGGATGATACTACAATATCATGAGGGGAAGGCAAGACATCCCTTCTCTTTTTGAACATACATTTACTGTATTTAATTCTTTTACCTATACTCCTCTCCACCTTATTTCCTTGTTGGTATTTAATGTGCTGGTCACATCACACGGGTGAAACAACAGTCGCCCTGTCTATGAATTCATAATGGAACCACAGAACTACACTGTTTCACATTCTTGTTTTGCCTCATTTCAAGTGTGACACAACTGGGCCTGTATCATGTCAGGTCAAAAAACAAATTATTTATTTCAAGTGACTAGAATATAATTATTTTTACTTGTTTAGTTAAAGACTAAATATTTTACAACCAATTTCTGAATAGCCTGTTCACGTTATATTAAACAATAATTTTTAGATTTTTCAAAAAGCTTCACTAAACTCTTCATTTTGCAACCTATAACAAATGATAAATATCAATTCTAGATGAAAAAATTATTTTTCCTGTTGATTATAATAGAAGGTTGTTTCTTCTCCTTTATATAACACAGGTTTCCTTTGGCTTCTCTATGTAGAATCAGTAAGAACCTGTAATTCCTATTAAGACCAAAGCAACATAAGACAGGATGCTACAAATTCAAATATGGCATCCAGTAAAATTTCTACTAAAGAGATCCAGATATGTGTAAGCTAATAAAGTTATTAGTTACTGCCCAATACATCACACAATATAGAAAATCAGTACGCATTTGAGAGGGTTTGTGCAGGAGGAATTTGTGCTAAGTGGCAAAGGCCACACACATTCCCATGGCAGAATGGGCGGGATGCTATTTACAGAATTCCTTCTTACTCTTCCTGGACCAAAAACCTCTTTACTGTAATCACCCAATAAACTACCATGGATTAACATTAAGGGTCTGATGCAGAGAAAGCAAATTCACAGTTAAGGTTGTCCTTTAACATGTAGGCTCAATCTAGGGCACCACAAAAGTAGTTAAGTGGCCCCCCTGCAGTGTTCAGATGCTGGGAGGCACTGCAAATTGTGATTTTTCTGCCTTTTAATATTTACCTAAGACCCTTAACATTTTTCTAATACTGTTTCTCCTAAGACATTTTGTTGAGTTTGGTCCCCTCTGCCCCCTCTGCACATATACTTTTCGCATTTATATATAAAAGCCTGACAGACCACGGAATGAATTAAGAAGTGTAACATTGAAAAAAAGGGAAAAAATGTTAGGGATAGCCTTGAGGACAGCCCACAATGTGAAGCATAAATATCAAAGTCTCTGGAATAAAAAAAAAAATCTTCTTGATAAGAGTTTAGATATGTAATTCTAAATATAAAAGAATCACATAATGGGGTGGAGGGCTCACTGAGGGCCTAAGCCACCCTTGACATCACAAAATTTCTAGGACTGTATGGACATATATAATTATTTGTGTCTAGATATTTCATTATAAATGGACACTTTTGCACTATATTCTAATTCCAGATACCCTTTAAAACTACTGCTAAATTTCACAATGGCTTTGCTTGTTTCATTTTATATTGTTTAGTGGTTCATCACATAAAGTCTTTAGCTCCTTCCAATAAAACTGTATAAAATTACATTGTATGCATGTTTAAAAAAAAAAAAGAGTGAATACTGAACACATGGCAAATGGAGCTAGGCAATGTCTCTGTTAGGAAACATCTAGCAACCACAAAGTAAGGAATAAAAAATGAGGGCTTGGTTTAAGAGATAAAATGTTCATTCACATACCTTCATCATCTAAATTATACGTTCAAGAAAATACAAACATGTCAATTTCACCCCAAGGGGCATTTTTCCCTAGGTTTATAACCCCTTGAAAATAGAGGTTTCATCTAGAAAAATCTAACAGATCCTCAGCTGCTTTAATATTACAATATATTCATAAGGCAGGTAATTCACTAGCAAACACATAACAAATTAAATGGCATGATTGCAATGGTGAGAAATGGACCAAACAAACTATGAGACACAAAGTAAAAATCAAAGATGAGAAGGAATAGATAAACAACAATATGAAAGGCAAAACATTATGGGGAGTTTTTCAGCCAACATTAGAGAGAATGGGGAATATGGGTGTGCATGCTCAGCATTTGTGTGTTGTGTGAAATTAGCACTGAAAGGATGCAAAACCATCCCATCAAAAATATATTATAAGGATCATAAATGAGAGTAAAGTATCTTGTAAGAAAAAGAAAATCAACATACCATCGTAGTAGACAATTGCTCCTACCAGTTTGTCCTTCTGGAGCATTGGGAAATGTTCGAGGGCTCTTGATTTGCTGAGGACATAACTACTTTTCAGGCAATTACTTCCTGCAACCAGATCATATAGCTTGATTCCTACCCAGTAGTAAGGTAACTGCCACCATCTATAGCATAAATAGAGGGGGAATGGTTCTTTAGAAACAGAGTATAACCTTATAGAATTACAAAATACTTCTCATTTATGAAAAACAAGGCATACCCAGAAGTGGACTGTAAAAGAAAGAGACTTGCATAACTTCTGAAACCAACCTAGCTGATATCTGTAAGTAAATGAGATTTTAAAGGAATCTTCTCCAAGGCAGTGATTCTCAGTCAACCTAGCTGCACCTTTGAATTCTCTGGGGAACATTAAAAATAAATATTGAGTCAGGCATGATGACTCAGATCTGTAATCCCAGTACTTTGGGAGGCTAAGGCAGGAGAATCACTTGAGGCTAGCAGTTCATGATAAACCTGGCAACATAGCAGGACCACCTCTCTACAAAAAAAGAGAAAAATTACTTGAGTGTGAGGATATGTGCCCTGTAGTCCCATCTACTCGGGAGGCTGAGGCAGGAGGATTGCTGGAACTCAGGAGTTTGGGGTTACTGTGAGCTAGGCTGAGGCCATGGCACTCCAGCCTGGACAACCGAGTGAAAGTCTGTCTCTGAATACAGAGGTATTGATGCCTCAGCTTCACATGTCCACAGACTGATTTAACTAGACTAGGGTGGGGGCCTGGATGACTCAGCCAAGGACTGAGAATCATTGATTTAAGAAGTCCTAAGCAGTCTATAGCAAAAGATGAACAAAATTATAAAATCTGTTTCTAGGTCCCCACAACACTCATGTGGCTAAAAGAGTCATAGAGCCCACTTTTTTCATACCACCTGTACCCCAACCAAAGGCAACTTCCTGGAGAGCTCTAATAACATCAGGGAAATAGGGTTTTATAATTTATAATCTACCATCTCCTAACCAAATTTCAGTTTTGGTTAACTCAGACACTTAAAATGACTCAAACTAGCTTAGGTGTGAAGCTGGTCCATGGTGGGTTTAGACTGCAGCGGGATGCATCTTGGTTTTATGTTTTACACTCTGCTAAGGGCTCTCAGGTTCCTCAGTACACATGTAGTTGCTCATCTGTATACTCTCAGAAACTGGAGTAAGAAGCAGCTGATCACAAATACAGAGCACAACCTCCTTTGCCTTCAAAATCTGCTCCTTAGAGATGGGTGGGTAGAAAGTAATTTAAGAAAAGTCACACTTTGTATTTAAATATAACAATGGGAAATATTTAAAGAAGATTAAAGATTAGGACTAATTAAAACCACATTAAGGGATTATTTTCATTAAAACTGTCATTCTCTTGACCTCAGGTAAGCAAACAGCGTACAGGTAACATCAAAAAACTTACTTGTAAATTGGAAGCATTATAGGCAAGGGAGCTGATAAATGGGGAGCAATTTCCAGTAAGTTGGCACGCTCATGAAGGGCTTCTTTTACCATCCTATACTGAAAGGCAAAACAGAGAAAATTAGTTTGGCAGTAACAGATCATAATATTTTCAAATGGCAAACAGACACCCTGCCAACTGATTGATACACAGAAACCTTCTACCTCTGAGTGAGGATCGCTCCCTCCTAATCAAATTTCTAATAATACATCATGCTGTCAACCTCAAAGATTTTTTAGAAACCTTAACTGTATTTGCATAGGAGAAAAACATGCTGTCAGAGTTCCCAGGTGTAAGATATTTTCCTGACTTGAGTTACAAGATTATTGTAGCCATTTATCTTGCAGCCTCCATTGTCTCCCTTTCTCAGTTCCCACAATATTTTCTCTGGGTGAGAGACAACAGATTGCTTAAATTCATGCGAAAAGTTTTCTTCTTGCCTTCCCAAAGCCATCCAAAGATGATACTTAACAGTTGCCTGGTATTTTATGGATTATAAAAAGCCTTTTGTCTCAACTTCTGTAGTCTCCATTATGCCTGTGTAAAGAGCCAGCCCTGATAGGACGATACCAGTTTTCCAAATAAGAATACTGAGGCTCATCGATGTTCAATAAATAAGCAGAACACCAGTTAGCCGATTCTAAACTCTATGCTGTTTCTTTTTTTCTTTTTCTTCTTCTTCTTTTTTTTTTTTTTTTGTATCCATCATGATGCCCGAGAGAAACATAAAAAAAGGGGACAGATTCGAACTGACTTGTCAAGAAAAAAAGGGGACAGATTCAAAACTTGACAATGTCAAGTCGGGGCTGCTGTGTTTTTTCATGTACGAAAAGCAGATAGGGAGTTCAGCTGATTTTTTTTTTTTTTTTACCCCTCTGGGAAATGTCATCTTCTGCACTGCCTTGGCAGTTTTCAAATGGTGGCAGACTGGACACAATAAAGTGTGACATAAGAAAAGCATGACTCAGATCAGCTTTTCCTTCAGAATATGTCAGTGACAATATCAGCGTGTGGCTGCGGCTGCAGTCAAAGGGGATCAATCTGGCACTCCCCCTGCATCGCCGCACAGCTCCCCTGAAACTGCTCACAAAGTAGTAATTTGGTGGCCATTGGCAAAAACCCAGTCACACTTGTTAAAAGACGGCGCTTCCAAAAGTGCTTTTGTAAATCTGCTCCTTTGACATGCCTGTGTAGAAAAAGCCCCTGATTACCCATAAACGTAATACTACAGGAAAGAACGGGCACACCTCTCCTGAAAGACATTCCAGCAGAACACACTAAATAGGTATTTCCAACAGGAAGAAATGTTAAAAGCCATAAAAAAAAAATCTGATTTAATTGGGTAGAAAAAAAGCAGAGTCGCAATTTTTGTTTAACAGCCAGCATACACAATTACCTGCTCAATATCCAACTTCATGATGGCCTTCTGAAGATATCTCACACCACCATGGATCAATTTAGTGCTTCTGCTGCTGGTCCCTGATGAGAAATCATCTCTTTCTACAAGGGCTGTTTTTAGTCCTGTGTAACCAGAAAACCAAATTAACTTCTTAAATTACACAATTTGTATGTAATTCATTAAAGGCACTTCTCCAGGGTAGAGACAATCACAAGAAAAATTACTCTGAACATGGATAAATTTGTATTCAACGTGCAGTACACTGTCTATATTATAATGAAGAGATTTTAGGCTCTTCCTGGGGGAAAAAGACCAACCAGAACTAGAAGCGTATTAAACTGTGAATGAATCACAACTAGAGAATAAGACAGTCCAATTTCATGGCAGTAAAATACTCCAGTGTAGTTAGAGGGTCAAAGAAGAGCCTGGTACCCATCTCTACCGATGTAGAGTTAACTGAGCATTATTACCTGGCCTCTGGGACTCGCATTCAACCCTCACTCCAAAGGTGCAGACATGTACCAGCCCCTCACCACTGACCTGCTCAGCCACATCACCAATAAATCTAGACAAGACTCCTTTATGTGCTGCCTTCTGTTGACAAATGTGTGTGGGGTGGTGCTATGGTAGGTCTAAAATGAAAAAAGATATCCAAGATACAAAAACCAAAGAAAAAAGAAGAGAATAACCTCTGAGGTTGAAGAGTTTCCAGTCTAATTTAAACCATTTGAACACGACAATATTTTGGAGTTACAAAGAAATATAAGCCAGGACAAATGAACATGATGAGAGTCCCGTGAGTAAACAAGATATTCTTGATAAGAAGAAGCTGAGCAAAGACAGGTCGATTCCAGAATTCACTCCCGCCCCCTGTATTTGAAGGTTGCTATAGCTTTCTTGGGGATAAAGAGAGACACCACACCTCTTGCAGATTGGAGATGACAAGTTGTGCAAGTGTCACACACTAGTTGAGAGATGAAGACCAAAACTTGAAAAGACCCAAAGTGTATGTGTGTGTTGTGTGTGCGTGTGTGTGTCAACACCAAGTCATGAGGAATTTTCATGGCCTGGCATACCATCTCACTTCTTAAAAGATGAGAGAATGTCATAGAATCCAATTACAATGAGAATATGTAACCAGAGCAGTTTGGGCTTGCAAAGTTCATATAGGAGAACTTGTGCATGTATTCAATTCAGAGCCATTTATTACATTTAATACCAAAGGGTCGTTTTTATAACTTTTAACAGTTTAAATATCGTACCCAAATGTCATCATAAAATCAGGGCAATTCCCTTGACTCAAAAGGACAAAATATTTAGAAATCGTGAAAAGAAAAGTAAAGAACTTTGATTTAAGGGCAAAAACTGTTAATTCCTTAACTAGCGTGCAAAATAACACAAAAATTACAGGCATTATCGACCCAGGTCCCTCTTAGGTCTATAAGAGAATGATCTGTAAAATTCTCAACTATTAAAATCCTAGCAAAATGCTTAGTAAACTTAGCACTGGAAAAATATTAGTACATGTTTTTTTAGAAATTGAGAGCCAAAGTGGAAGTGAATCAGGCCTGAACCAGGCTGTGGGAGCCAAATAAAAACAAAGTGCAGCAAACTTTAATAGCGGTCTCATCTTCCTCCAAGTTAGAAGTTAAATTCAGGACATAAACTCAGAATTGCATAGAGCCAAAATTACATTTGCAAATCTTAAGAACGTACTGTGTCGGTGAGCTATATCACCTTTTCTTAGTTAAGTTCAACTCAGAGTTCTTCTTCCAGCACTAAAATAGACCATCTTTTCTTCAGTTGAAGATCAGATGAGGGAGTTGACTTTCAAGTGGTATTTAAGAGTCAGATTATTTAAAATCTCTTTAAACCCTGGAATCACAGTCAAGGCATCAAGACGTCCACACCATAAGAGGCAGGGAAATTAAACTGAGAGAGGCCATGCAATCTTCCTCCAGCCCACAGCTTGGCGGTGGGGCACAGTCTCCGGTCATCCCAACTCCCTGGTATGCAGCCCCCTGCCCATAAGTGGAGGCTGGGCCTGTCACCTTTCTTCTAAAGAGCAGAATACAGCAGAGTAGAGGCATGTCACTCCTGTGATCCATTTGCAGAAGGTGGGGAGGGCTCTCTCTCTTGCTAGCGCTCTCTCCCCTTCCCGCTGGCTTGCTCTGTGAAGCAAGCTCCATGTTGTGAGTCCAGGAACAAAGGGAGGCCCACAGTCAGCAGGTCCTGAGGACCAAGGCGTCAGTCCAGTAATCCATGAGGAACTAAATCCTACCGACAACCATGTCAGTTCCTTGGGATCACTGTAAGCAGGTGAGAGTCTCAGAGCCAGAGGACTCAGCTAAGGCTCACCCTGGAGTCCCAACCCCCTGAGACAGGGAGATAACGAATGTTGCTGTTTTAAGCCCTCAAATTTGGGGACTTATGAGAGATTCAGAGGGCACAGCTAAGGCTCACCCCAGAGTCCCAACCCACTGAAACAGAGATAATAAATGCTGCTGTTTTAAGCCACCAAATTTGGAGGCTGGTTCACTCTCTGTGTAAGGAAGGATTCCCTGCCGCCAACATCGTACCTGGGGAGGGGGTCGTCAGGAAAGGCTGGGTCTAGGGAGGAGTCTGTGTTCAAGATGGGCAGAGTGGAAGAGGGGAATCGCCACTGGCAAAGACAAGCCTCAAGAGGGAAAGTGGCCCAGCAACTCAGGGGCTTCTCGGCACTCAGGCTGCAGGGCAGGGCAGGGCACAAACAATGATGTGTAGGAGTCCCCATGGGAGGAATGGGCGAGGCAGATCTCAAAGGGCTTCTGATCTACCCTGGGGCATTTACATCCTGCAGGCCACTGTTTATCCCAAGAAAGTTAATGTCTGAACTATGCCCATGAGAAAATGCCCATGAGAACACAGCTCTTCCTGATCAATTTGCGAAACAATACACACATGCATGAACCTGAGGACGGTAGTTAGTAAAAAGACATCAATTCCAGAGAACCAGAAAGCGTTTATTACCTTTCATTATTAAAAAGGAATACAATTTAATTCTTTTTCCTGGAATTTCAGATATCATTTTGAGAAACTATTATGCTGCTTGTCAAAGGAACCATCAAAGTGTTTTAAACTGAGATTAGGTGCAGTGGCTCCCACTTATCATCCCAGAATTTAAGAAGGCCAAGACAGGAGGATCGCCCAGGAGTCTGAAGTTTCAGTGAGCCATGAAGATGCTACTGCACTTCAGCCTGGGCAACAGAGGGAGACTCTGTTTCTGAACAGAAAAAAGTATTTCAAGGTTTAAGCTGAGAAATCAGAACAGTGTTCTAGAGACGTCCTTGACTGCAAAGGTTAGGCGGGGAGCTGGAGGAGAAGGGCTGGAGGCAGAAGACTCTTCAGGGTACCAGATCCATACAGCAAGATTACAGGAAGAAAGAGTCCATTCTCATGAGGCAGAAGACGGCAGGGGAGAGTGTTAGGAAGAGAGAATTTTATAGGCTGTGTTGTCAGGATGGATCCCTTTTCTTTCCCAAACTGACACGGTAGGAGGCAGGGACCTACTCTAGGAATTAGCAAGCCATCTCAAGGGTATATTTCGGGATATTTAAGTGACAGCTAACACTTTAAAGCTCTGAAAACTTCTTTTTCCAGTATTGGACATTTTAAAAATTATTCACATGTACATATGTGAGAAACTCTAGTGAATACCAACGAAAGTTAAAATGGGCCTCTCTGTCAAACCAGACTGTTTTTCTTGTCCCATTATTTCCACTGTCTAATCATCAAGTTATCCACCAGAATTTCTGAAGAAAAATAATACTGCTCCTTCCAGAGCCAAAACTTAAAAAAATTCAGTCTCTAAAGTTATGGCTAAATTGATATCTTAAAGCAATACACGACCTAAAAGTATTACTAAGTTTTCTGAACCACAAAAGAAAAAAAAAGATTCTCTATAAAAAGAAAATATTTTAAAATTTTCAACTGCCATGATATGCTAAACGTTCTGAATATTTGTTGAGAAACAAAGAAGTAGAAAGGAGAAAAATAACACAAAATCAAGACATTATTATTTGTTATTACTGCTACTTATAACTTTATTCATTAACCAAATGCAATGAAGACAATAAAAATTTAAAAAATTTTTAAAAGCCTTTTGTCGTTCTTGTACGTTCTGTTATCTAATTTGTTCTTTTCCATTTTGCCTCTCAAAAAATCCAAACTATTTTCCTCATTTCAAAAAAATTACTAATCCAAAATTAAGAACCTGGTTTTCTGGTATTTTAAGCATAAGGCAAAAAAGTGGAAGAAAAATAGCTGTTTTCTCCTAAGAGAGAGAGTAGTATTTTTTACATTTGAGAGATGGGTTCTCACCGTGTTGTTGAAGCTAGCTTCCAATTCCTGAGCTTAAGAGACCCTCCTGCCTCAGCCTTTCTAGTACAGGTGCATGCCACTGCACCCAGCTGGCATTCTAAATGTCATTCAATGCTAAGATGTTGTGCTTTTAGGTAAAATAATTAAAGGTAAGGTATTATTAAAAGTATTATCAAATATAATGTACCCAGGATTCAACCAACTACTCATTGCTACGGATTTGAGGGGTGTGGGAAAAAGATCTTTTTGCAGGCAGAGAAGGACTGGCTTCTCTATACATTAAAAACTAGTTCAAGATTTTTCAAAGAGTACATTTTTGTTATCTCTTTTTTATTATTAGAATTACTTTTTATGGAACGCAGTAAGTTCTGTAACAATTGAGATGAACTAGAACACTTACGAATGGCCTTTCATTGTTTAATTTTTTGTTTTTAATGCCAATTACTTTTACAAAACAGTCTCAGGAATTTCATGACAGTAATAAATTATTAGTATTTAAAGTAAAATTACTCTGAAATCTCAGGCAGAATAATAAGATTAGTTATAGTACAAGAATAAAGTCAACTGCCACTCATCTCCATCCCATCTCTTAACAAGATGAAATTGTCTCCTGGGTGGGACAAGGGTTACGAACTAAATGCAGCTCTTTATAGCTTTGTCTTTTCTGACGAATTCCAACTAAACCCATTCACGGATCAAGACAGTTGGATGAATATAGTGGGATAATTACAATCTAAGGGGAGAAATGGTACGACATTTAAGT